CTTGGCACGTGTGCATTTCTAAGAATTTGTCCATTTCTTCCAGGTTGTCCATTTTTTTGGCATAGAGTTGCTTGTAATCTCTCATGATCTTTTGTATTTCTGCAGTGTCGATTGTTACTTCTTTTTCATTTCTAATTCTATTGATTTGAGTCTTCTCCCTTTTTTTCTTGATGAGTCTGGCTAATGGTTTATCAATTTTGTTTATTTTCTCAAAGAATCAGCTTTTAGTTTTATTGATCTTTGCTGTTGTTTTCTTTGTTTCCATTTCATTTATTTCTGCTCTGAAATTTATTATTTCTTTCCTTCTGCTAACTTTGGGTTTTGTTTATTCTTATTTCTCTAGTTCCTTCAGGTGTAAGGTTATATTGTTTATTTGAGATTTTTCTTGTTTCTTGAGGTAGGCTTGTATTGCTATAAACTTCCCTCTGAGAACTGCTTTCACTGCATCCCATAGGTTTTAGATTGTTGTGTTCTCATTGTGATTTGTCTGTAGGTATTTTTTGATTTCCTCTTTGATTTCTTCAGTGATCTCGGTTATTTAGTAATATATTGTTTAGCCTCCATGTGTTTGTGTTTTTTACGTATTTTTCCTGTAATTGATTTCTAATCTAATAGCGTTGTGGTCAGAAAAGATGCTTGATATGATCTCAATTTTCTTAAATTTACTGAGGCTTGATTTGTGGCCCAAGATGTGATTTATCCTGGAGAATGTTCCGTGCGCATTTGAGAAGAAAGTGTAATCTGCTGTTTTTGGATGGAATGTCCTATAAATATCAATTAAATCTGTCTGGTATGTTGTGTCATTTAACGCTTATGTTTCCGTAATAATTTTCTGTTTGGATGATCTGTCCATTGGTGTAAGTGAGGTGTTAAAATCCCCCACTATTTCTGTGTTACTGTCGATTTCTTCTTTTATAGCTGTTAGCAGTTGCCTTATGTATTGAGGTGCTCCTATGTTGGGTGTATATATATTTATAATTCTTGAATCTTCTTCTTGGATTGATCCCTTGATCTTTATGTAGTGTCCTTCCTTGTCTCTTGTAACATTCTCTATTTTAAAGTCTATTTTATCTGATATGAGTATTGCTACTCCAGCTTTCTTTTGATTTCTATTTGCATGGAGTATCTTTTTCCATCCCCTCACTTTCAGTCTGAATGTGTCCCTAGGTCTGAAGTGGGTCCCTTGTAGACAGCATATGTATGGGTCTTGTTTTTGTATCCATTCAGCAAGCCCATGTCTTTTGGTTGGAGCATTTAATCCATTCACATTTAAGGTAATTATCGATATGTATGTTCCTATGACCATTTTCTTAATTGTTTTGGGTTTGTTTTTGTAGGTCCTTTTCTTCTCTTGTGTTTACCACTTAGAGAAGATCCTTTAGCATTTGTTGTAGAGCTGGTTTGGTGGTGCTGAATTCTCTTAGCTTTTGCTTGTCTGTAAAGGTTTTGATTTTTCCATCAAATCTGAATGAGATCCTTGCCAGGTAGAGTAATCTTGGTTGTAGGTTCTTCCCTTTCATCACTTTAAGTATATCGTGCCACTCCTTCTGGCTTATAGAGTTTCTGCTGAGAAATCAGCTGTTAACCTTATGGGAGTTCCCTTGTATGTTATTTGTTATTTTTCCCTTGCTGCTTTCAATAATTTTTCTTTGTCTTTAATTTTTGCCAATTTGATTACTAAGTGGCTCGGCGTGTTTCTCCTTGGGTTTGTCCTGTATGGGGCTCGTTGCACTTCCTGGACTTGGGTGGCTATTTCCTTTCCCATGTTAGGGAAGTTTTCGACTATAATCTCTTCAAATATTTTCTTTGGTCCTTTCTCTCTCTTCTCCTTCTGGGACCCCTATAATGCGAATGCTGTTGCATTTAATGTTGTCCCAGAGGTCTCTTATGCTGTCTTCATTTCTTTTCATTCTTTTTTTCTTTAATCTGTTCCACAGCAGTCACCATTCTCTCTTCCAGGACACTTATCTTTTCTTCTGCCTCAGTTATTCTGCTATTGATTCCTTCTAGTGTAGTTTTCATTTCAGTTATTGTATTGTTCATCTCTGTTTGTTTGTTCTTTAATTCTTCTAGGTCTTTGTTAAATATTTCTTGCATCTTCTCGATCTTTGCTTCCATTCTTTTTCTGAGGTCCTGGATCATATTCACTATGTTTATTCTGAATTCTTTTTCTGGAAGGTTGCCTATCTCCACTTCATTTAGTTGTTTTTCTGGGGTTTTATCTTGTTCCTTCATCTGGTGCATAGCCCTCTGCCTTTTCATCTTGTCTTTCTGTGAATGTGGTTTTTGTTCCACAGGCTGCAGGATTGTAGTTCTTCTTGCTTCTGCTGTCTGACCTCTTGTGGATGAGGCTCTCTAAGAGGATTGAGCAAGTTTCCTGATTGGAGGGACTGGTGGTGGGTAGAGCTGGCTGGTGCTCTGGTGGGCACAGCTAGGTAAAACTTTAATCCACTTGACTGTTGATGGGTGGAGCTGGGTTCCCTCCCTGTTGGTTGTTTGGCCTGAGGCAACCCAACACTGGCGCCTACCTGGTCTCTTTGGTGGGGCTAATGGCGGACTCTGGGAGGGCTCATGCCAAGGAGCACTTCCCAGAATTTCTTCTGCCAGTGTCCTTGTCCTCACGGTGAGCCACAGCCACCCCCTGCCTCTGCAGGAGACACTCCAACACTAGCAGGTACGTCTCGTTCAGTCTTCCCTGGGGTCACTGCTCCTTCCCCTGGGTCCCGATGCGCACACTACTTTGTGTGTGCCCTCCAAGAGTGGAGTCTCTGTTTCCCCCAGTCCTGTTGAAGTCCTGCAATCAAATCCCGGCAGCCGTCAAAGTCTGATTCTCTAGGAATTCCTCCTCCCGTTGCCGGACCCCCAGGTTGGGAAGCCTGACGTGGGGCTCAGAATCTTCACTCCAGTGGGTGGACTTCTGTGTTATAAGTGTTCTCCAGTTTGTGAGTCACCCTCCCAGCAATTATGGGATTTGATTTTATTGTGATTGCGCCCCTCCTACCATCTCATTGTGGCTTCTCCTTCATCTTTGGATGTGGGGTATCTTTTTTGGTGAGTTCCAGTGTCTTCCTGTTGATGATTGTTCAGCAGTTATTTGTGATACCGGTGCTCTCGCAAGGGGTAGTGAGAGCATGTCCTTCTATTCCACCACCTTGAACCAATCTCATCATGAATGATTTTTATTTTCTTATTTTTGAGGATTGATTTTCTAAACCTGCCTAAACAAACACATATTAATTTTGTAATAAGAAAGAGTCATTAGGAAGAATCTCCTAGTATCAGGAAGACAAATAGTTTATCCCCACATCGATTTTGATCAAACAGCAGTTGCTTCCTGAGATACATTGCTAAGAAGGAGTAGGAAGCGGTGACCAGGCTCCCATGGTGTGTGCCCTGCTCGGTGACACCTCCGCGGATCCTGGGAAGACGCAGTAGCCACCTTGCTCTAGCCCGAGACGTGGAGGTGCTGGGGTTTATCGCTGTTGCCTTGTGTGTTTGACTTGACTGGGGAGAGACATGGCCAGGATCAAGCTCCAGGTTCCCGCCTGGGCAAGTCTAGGGAGGAAGGCTCCTGGTATCATGCCATTGTGGACATTCACCCTGCACTTCACACGTGGAAACGGACAGCCTAGCCGCCTCCCGCACCCACATACATGCTTGGAGGATAAAGACAATGCACGTCTCTCCTGTGCCTTAAATCACAGAATCGGAGGATCGTTGAGCTGAAGAGGACATAAGGGATCATGTTGTTGAAAAAATTCCATTTTTTTTTGACAGAAGAGAAAACTGAGGCCCAAATAGTCAAGACATTTTAATTTGTGTAGGGGAAATGTTATTTCTCCCATAATCCTGAAGGATGCCATCAGGGCCCTTGGAACAGTAGGACAGCTTGGTGCACCAGACTCAGAGCAAGGAAACCACGGTCCTCCCACACCCCTCTTACATTGGCCAGTATTCCTCACTGAGTCACAGTTTCCACATCAATTAAGTGGGGATCATTCCACCTGCTCTGCCAGCCCCCTGGGATTGTTGTGAGGCTCACATGAGATGAGGAACAAATGGGGAAAACATTTGCAATATACATGAGAGATTACTAAAACCTCTGAGACATGAAAGTTCTTAAAATAGAAAAAGATTAACTTCTCAAGAGAAAAAGGACAAAGGACACGAAGACTATTCACAGAACAACAAATGACCGGCAGCAACAAGATGAGATTCAGCCTCATTCATAATAAAAGCAAAGTAAAGCAGGAGTGAGTTACCTTGTTCACCTATAAAACTGGCACAAGCAAGTGATGAGACCTAGAGTTGGCAAAGGTGTGGGGAAATAAGCCCTTACCGAGGGGGAGGGGGGAGAGTAAGTGGATATAATCCTTCAGATTAATATGGTTATATGTACCAAAAGCATTAGATTCTGTAATTCTATTTCTGGAAGTTTATCCTAAGGAAACAATTGGATAAATGTTCAAAGAGACAAGGAAGTTCGTCACTATGATATTTTTAAAGATGACACTTATTAAATTAATTACGGTACCTCTGCATAACAGGATTGTGTGGCCCCATAAAAAATGATGATGTAAATCTAAAGTCCCCGACATGGAATTATATCCACAATCTGTCAAGTAAAAACAAAGTTGGTTACAATTAATTTCTGCATGATAGGATTTTGTTTTTACAGGGAGCATGTATTGCTTTAATAAAAATATGTAAAAATTGCCCCTTTTTATTTTGAAAAGACAAATATGAATAGGCATATTAAAACGCTTGGAAGTAATATATAACATTAGTGACTGCTAGCTCTGAGTGGGAGATTATGATTTGCCTTTATCTTGTATTTCCTATAATTTAAATTTTTATATGAATATTAATTTTATAATCAGAAGAAAATCTTGGAGAAGGCAACATTTCCGCACAAGGTGTGGTTGCCAAATTATTTCTAAAGTAACTCTTTACTCGTTGTCATTCCCAGTTTCCTAAAGAGCCACAATTTGCTTTCCTAGAGTTGACTGTTCTGCTAGAGGGATGATCCCTGTCCTGGACTCATGTTTTCGGCAGAGCCCCCAGCCCCAGCCCATCCCAGTGATGGGAAAAGCCATGACGCTTTCGCACTTTGGGAAGAGAAATGTAGTGAGGTAAGAGAGGCGTCTTACCCTTTGTGAGGCACCAGCAGACCTCGGGAAGCGGTGCCTGTCGGCTCCGAGTCAGGGAGCATGTCAAGTCAGGTGTACGGGAGCAGATGAGGTTACCAACAAGTGACATGGTGACAGGAGGGTCGTGGCAGGGCACAGTTGACATTTGCTGCCGGAGGGCAGGGCAGTGGCCATTACAGCCCCACCTGGAGGGAGCAGTAAGGGACAGGTGGGCATGGGGTGAGAGTGCCATGGAATGGAGGGGGTGTTATTTGCCGAGGCACCTGGTGTGAGACGTCTTGAAACTGTCTGGTAAGGAAACGTTTACTGACCCTACTTGAGGGGACCTAGGCCCCAGATGGGCTTGGGTCCAGGTCTGAGACATTGAGAAAGCTCCTCGGCACGGCCAAGAGAAGAGGAACTTAGGCTCCCTGGTTGGAGGGTGGTGAGGGGAATCTGGAAGCAGAGGGGGAGTAACATGGAGGAAGGTGATGCCCTGCCCTTCCCCTCCCATCCTCGTAAGATTCCCACAAACCGTGGAATGCTTGGTGCGGCCGTGTTTCTTGTGGAAAGCAGGCAAGGACTGGAGTTTTGCATCGAAGCCTACAGGTGCGTAAACTAAGGTGGCACTGATGTGCCTCGCCTGGCTCCTTCCTGAGCTCCCTGCATTTCCCCTTTTAGCACCAACCACAAAGGTCAAAGGTATGGAATTCATCAGTTAGTTGCACAGTCTATGTTTCGCGTCCGTTCAGTTCACCACTTGGCACAGGCCTGACCGCATCCGCAGGGGCCTCTATTTTGGGTGAGGGGGGTAAAGAGTGTGTTAACCGACCTGGAGTCTGGAGGCCATGGTGACTGGACGAGCGGGGACAGGCCCACTTCTCTGCCGAGACCACCGTGGGCAGACGGCAGTTGTAGACCAGAGGCCCCTCTCCCATCCCCCCAGGTGAAACATGAGATGTCCCCCTCCCTGAGTCTAGGGCAGGTTTGAGGATACAGGAAGAAGGGGCAACAGGCAGCATCCTGAGTTGACTATTTACCAAACAACACTAAAAAATTCTGGAAGCCGCTCAGTTACTGTGCAGGTGACAAATTTAGTTTTCTCCTCTTTGGTGGAAGTGGAGGTTTGTAAACGAAGATAAAATCTGTTAGAGAAATAATGGCAATTACATCTTTCTCCTGTAGTCTGGGAAGTCGGTACCTGCTTCACAAGGGCAGTCTTGCAGGCGAACAGCATTGGCCAAGGGCTGCCACAAAGTGGGGTGTGCCCGGCGTCCACATCCCTCCCACCCACGTTACTGTGAGGGTAGAATAAATATTCTGACACACTGCAGCCCAGTTCATCCTTTTTAGGGCATGTTGGTGTGTCCTCCTGATGAGAATGGTAAAATCAGAGAAAGGAGGGACCCAAGGGGACCTAGGAGATCAGAGAGACCCATTTCTCAGATGAGGAGACTGAGGCCTGGTAAAGGGAGAAGATGAGCCGAAGTCTCAGGTCAAGGCCTCCCGACTCGCTCCCTCTCACCCCCGCCCCCCGGAGTGTGGCAGACACCGCTTCTGGCCCTGGCAGCTCACATGCTTGGCAGAAACTGCTTGCGTTCTTTATCCTGCCCCCTGTACCTTCCCTCCAGCCCGCCCCCCGCCCATGTTAGAGTCTAGCCACAATGTTGGGGACAGCCCTGCCACCTGCTTTTCCCCAAGTCCTCTGGGTTCCCTCGGGGAAGGTGTCTACCTCCTAAGGAAGGGGCTGGTCAGTTAGGGGCGAGGACGCCCCAGCCCTCCTAGATTTGGGAATAAGGTCTCTAAGTGTGGAGTTGCATAGCATCAGGGTCGGAAGGAACTGAAGGGATGGTCTAACAGTTCCTAATCAAGGGCCTTCCTCAAAATGACCTGGAGAGCCTTTGGAAAGCCCACACACCCAAGTCTAGTCCCCAGAGATTCTGACTTCATGGGGTTTGGGTTAGGAAACCTCATCTAGTTCAATGATTTTAATTTACGAGAAGTGTTTGAGCATCGCCGGCTCCGTGGCTTCAGATTCAGTCACTGCTATTTGAGATTCTCCTTAATGCTTGTTCCCTCCAGAACCGCCCCCTCCCCAACACACACCCCACAGCCCTGCTAACTGCGTCCTCTTCCTGCCCTTTTCAGTCACTATTTGGGGAATATCTGTGTGCTCTCAAAGCCATCTCTTCACTACAAAATTCTATCGTTCTTTTTTTTTTTTTTGCCCACACCTCCTGGAACTCTGAATGGTTAGTTCTCAGCTGCAGGTGTACATAAGTATCCGGGGTGCACTAGATGGGGGAGCCTCACAGATGGCACCCAAACCTAGAGATTCCATTGGTCTGGGGCAGGGGTGGGACTAGGCCCTATTTTTTTTCATTCTCCCCTCAGCTTTTTATTTGAACATTTTCAAACCTACTGAACACAGATTTACCCTTTCCCTAGGGTCACCATTTGAAATTCATTGTATAAGATGCTATCTCCCTAAATATTTCAGTATGAAACATCTAGAAATAAGGTCAATTTTCTACATAGCTACAATTCCATTTTTACACCTAAGAAAAATAACAATAATTCCGTCCTCAATTTGTCCCCTTTTCAGGTTTGTTCTTTCTTATTTCCCTCCCTTCTGTTCTCTTTTCCAATCTAGGATCTAACCAAGGTTCATGTGTTACATTTGGTTCTATCTTTGTCATCTCTTTTCACCTAAAACATTTTTTTTTTTTTTTTTTTTTTTTTTGTTACGCGGGCCTCTCACTGTTGTGGCCTCTCCCGTTGCGGAGCACAGGCTCCGGACGCGCAGGCTCAGCGGCCATGGCTCACGGGCCCAGCCGCTCCGCGGCATGTGGGATCTTCCCAGACCGGGGCACGAACCCGTGTCCCCTGTATCGGCAGGTGGACTCTCAACCACTGCGCCACCAGGGAAGCCCACCTAAAACATTTTTAAAACATAACATTGATTCATTTTGAACTATCTAGGCTAGTTTTCTTACAGAATATCCTACATTCTAGATTTGACTGATGGCTTCTTCATGGTGTCACTGATTTGTTCTTCTCTCTACTTCCTGAGGTTGTGGACAGAGGCTTGAATAGACACAGGTTAAACATCTGGCAAGACTATTTCCTAGGGGATGTTGGGTAGTGCATCCTGCATCATCCTTGTTAGGATGGCAGGCTGTCCATTATTGGTGGTGCTGTTTCCTCACCTGGTTAAAATAGTGAATATCTTTCTCCCTAAAACCCTTTTACCCAGTGGTTTTAGCGTCGTGGATGATCCTTGCCTGGATCACTGATTATATCAGGGGTGGCGAAATGATAACGTTCCTCATTTTCTCATTCTGTCTACACTTATTAGTGGCGTTCTTCTATAAAGAGGAAGAGCTTTCCTTCCTCGCTGCCCCCGTCCCCCCGACCCTGTCTCACCTTAGGACTCACAAATTATTTCTTATTCAATGTGTTGATATTTAAATACAGTCATTCTTTCAGATGCTCAAACTGATTCAGATAAACAGGTCCAGTTCAAATTAACATTATGGGGTTTTTCTAACCCTCTTTTATTTTATACTTGTGTCTTTTTTTCTCTTAGAGTGAAAATTTTGGTTCTTGTAAGATGAATTTATTTATTTGCACTATCTAAAAATATATAAGTTGTTTCACATTTTAATCCAGAGTACAACTAATAATTAACCTACTGGGAAAGGTTCCCAATTTCTTTGTACTTCTCTCTCCGCTTTGAATACATCTCATGAAGAATGTACAGGCTACTTTTCAAAATTCACAAGAATTAACTCTTTTCTAAGTGTCGTTATATTATTAATTTGATATGCATTAGGTTTATTTGTGCTTTTTAAAATTTAATTTTAGGAATTGCTTTTTTCCTTCCTTTTTCTTAAAATTTATTTTTGAATAAGCCATTTATATGGTTCAAAAGTCAAAACCATGTAAGAAGGCATTCACTCTCTATGGGGAACCATTTGCTTAGTTTCTGGTTTACCTTTCTTATGTTTCTTTTTTTAAAAATGAGCAAATATGTATAGATATTCTTATATCTTCTTTCTTACATGGAAGTTAGCATTCTGTATACACTGTTCTGGGCCTTTCTTTTTTTTTTTTTTTTACAAACAATATACCCTAGAAATGACTCCATCTCAGCTTTTAGAGATCATTCTAATTCTTTTTCATGGCAGGCTCACCATATAGCCACATATTCTGTCATAGGGGTAGAGCATAATGTATTCAATAAGTTTTCTATTGCTCAATACTTGGGCTACTTTCAATCTTTTGCTATTATGATAGTGCCACTATAAATAACCTGGCACTTACAGCGTTTTAGTATTTGTGGACTTACATCTTAGGGGTTGACTCCTAGAAGTGGTTTTGCTGGGTCAAAGGGAAATTGCATATTTAGTTAGTTTTTTTCTGAATTCCCCTCCATAGCAGTTGCTATGGAATTTTTCACCCACTAGGAAAGCATGAGAGTGTGTTTCATCACAGCTTTGCCAACAGAATGTTTTGCCCAGCATTTGGATTTGTTCCATTCTAATTAGCGAGAAAGTGTGGTTTCAATATGCATTTCTCTTAAAATAATGATGAGCATTTTTTCTCATGTTTAAAGACCACCTGTGTATCTTTTTGTGTGTTTTCTGCTTGTTTATTTGCCACTTGTTTCCATCTGAGAGTTTTTTTAAATCCTTCTCAATGTTTAAGAATTATTTATATATTAAAGACATTGGCCCTTTGTGATGCAAATTACAGATATTTTCTCCCAATTTGCCATTTTGTCTTTTGCTCTAATTTTTTTTTTTTTACCATGAAGTTCTTTTTAATTGCTATGATGTTGTCTTTATTTTTTTACAGTTCTGAATTTTGAGTCATAGTTGGCCTCTCCCACTCCCGGATTAGAAAGGAATTCACCCATGTTTTCTTTTAGTACTTGTTTCATTTCTTTACATTTGGGCCTGATACATTTGTTATTTAATGTGTGGTATGTGTGTGGTATG